TTTTATGATACTAATTTAAGTTAATTTAATGGTGATATGCATCCCACATCGAAATAATTTCCCTCTTAATTTATTATTTTTAAATAAAAAATCACCCTATTTACTACTGTTTCATCTATTTTTAGACCCAGGTTTTACGGTTTCCCCCTATTTTTCCCTTTAGTCTTCCTCTCTCAAGCCACATCAATTTTTCTTTTCTTTTTTTTGGCTATTACTTCTTAAATATCTTTTTACTATTGAATCTTTATAAAATTTTATGTTAATTTTTATACTTGTTAATTAATTTGAAAGAGATGTGAAGTTATTCCTAGTAGGGATTGTGTTCATGTCATAATATCTTTCTAATATTTTTAAACATGTGTTATTTTTAATTTTTTTTTTATTAAAATGTGTTAGAATGACATAACAACATGCATTTCCTAGTTTACAAGCGATTTAGGCCTTCATTTGGTATCATAGTGGTGTAACCATTTTATGGGAGTAAGACATGAGAAGCAACTACGGAGAGGACGAGTACAGACAAATCACCTGATGATTACATCTTTAAATTACACTGCCGAAGCCAACAGGCGCCGGAGCCATGCATCAATCAGATACATAGCCACCATTAGTTAACAAAACCAGAGGGCGTCGTCGGTAGCTCTTGTATATGCACAAGTTGCTATTAACTAATATTTGTCACTTAGCTCTAGAGGAAGCACCATCAATGAATATAATAGTCCTAGGTTATCCAATTGATTGAGTTGATGCCTCGCATTACGCCGATTAAACTGATTCCCTAGTAAGATATTGTTTATAGGCAAAAGCATGTAGGTCTTTATGAAGTGTCTTTTGCCTTTACACGTAGTGCACACGTTTCCTTGCTTATTAGCAGTAAATCACAATTATGACTAGCATAAAGTTACATGTCAACATGGTGCCACTTGCCCCCGTATGAACGAAATGCGCTCCACCTTTTCTTCTGGGAGTTGGACTGAATTGATGCCTTTCTGATCCATGGATGTGCTGCTTGCCTATTTTCTTGAAAGGGAATGAATTTTGTATTGACAGATCTTGTGACATCATACATGTTAATCCTTGTAAGCAGTTCTGTGGTCCTATAACTTTGTCATGATGACCAGAGGTTGAGGTCAGAGGTTGCAAGATTGGTTAAATAAATAAATAAAAAGGAAAATGAATGGGGATCCAAGTCACATGGGACAGAGGGAATAAAGAGAAAACCATGATAATCTAGCCATATGACCGACGGCTAAACTCGATCATGTTTGAGCCTAGCGAGCACCGTCTGCCTCATGTTTTAGGATCTGAAGGGGTTAGGTAACATGTAAGCTCTAAATTCGGTGTAGTTCAATTGACTCTGGAAAGGGCAAAACCCAAAAAGGTAACGTAATTCGGTACAATCTCAACAAGCCATTTACAATGGAAAGTGAACATGTAGAGGAAAATCTAATAAAAAAAAATGAAACAAAGGCTAGTAATTTTGGTGTTTGAATCCTGGTACGTACGAGAAGTAAAACATCATAATAAAGTTTTGCTTGGGTTTGTTTTTCTTTTTTAAAATTATTTTTTTATTTTAAAATAATTATTTTTAGTATTTTTAAATTATTTTGATACGATAATATTAAAAATAATTTTTAAAATATAAAAAATATTATCTTAATATATTTTTAGATAAAAAATATTTTAAAATATAATTATAATCTCAATCGTAAATATATTTTCAAGCACGTTAGTAGAAGAGAAAAGATGATTTTAGTAATTTATATATTTATGTTAATTTGGCTGCTCAGAAAACTTGCAAGCAACACACTTAACAACCATGCAGAGGGAGGTGCACTTTTACTGTATTAATCACTGTAGATGTAAAGACAACATGCTGTGTGGCAGTGTAGAATTGATTTTGTTATATTTTGGTTGTCTTAGCTTCTTTTCAGAAAACCAATTCGTCAACAAAGGACTGCTGAGATTACTTTTATCTTTTTAATTTTTTCAAAATATTATAATTACTTATTTGCCTCAGAGCTCAAAAAACAATGAACTGCTGGGCAAGAGTGTTCGAGCCTTCACACTTTTTGCAAGATTATGAAAGAAACTTTTTATCCCTACATTCAAGGAAAAATAAGGAAGGAATTCAGGTGTGATTTCATCTTTTTATGTTAGTTTTTTTTTAATATTGAAATCAGTTTTTCACTCTAATTAATTAATTTTTAAATTAAAAAATAATTAATGCATGAGATGCACTTATGATCTTATAGCTGTATGTATAATGTATCCTGTGACCAAATATATTGTTTCACCGTCATTGATTGAAAACACTGTCTTGTTTTCTTTTTTATATGGTGACACATAATGGTAGTTGATGAATGGGTTTTTGGTTGTTGGTCATTTTTTTTTCTTTTTTACTTTTCTCTCTTTTCTATTAAAAGTGCACACATGTCCTCTTTTTTTTTTTTTATGTTTCTCAATTTTATTCCTTAGATTTTCTATTACTTATTTTAGTCATTAGTCCTTTTGAGAAGGTTCTTGATGTTTTCAATTTCATCCTTGAATTATAATTTATCATGAATTATTATTTTTAATTTGATTTTTATTTTTTTGATTTTTAATTTTTTACCTTACTCTTGTTTTTTAGAGTTTCATTTTTTTGAATTTTATTTTTCAATCAAAGTTTATATTATTTTATTTTTTTCAATTTAACCCTCATTCTTTTGATTTTTTTTCTTTTTGTTATTTTTTTTCTTTTTAATTTAACACTCTATTGATAATTTTTTTATGCCCTCTAATTTATTTATTTTTTATTTTGATTGTCAGACTTTTGATGCCCTAATTCTTTTAGTTATAATTTTTCGTGTTATAGATTTTTTCCTCAGTTTAATCATTAGGCATTTAATTTGTTAGAAATTGGACTTCATGGTTTTTTCATTTGCCGTGCTTCTGAACTAATGACACATTTAACGGGTTTTAAGAGTTGGTACAGGTATATTTTCTTTTTCTCATTTGCTTTTACGGTTTTATCATTCTATATTATTTTTTTCAAAAAAGATTGGTTTTGTAGTTATTTTTAATTTTTTTCTATTGGTTTATCCTAAAACCTTTTTCATAGAGGTTTTTTTTAAAAAAATTATTTTGTATTTAATTTTTGAATGCCTTTTATTTTATTTTATTTTATGTTGATGTGATTTATTTTATAAAAAAATAATTTTATATTTTATTCTATTTACTCAGTTTCATTTATGTTTTTTTTTCTATTATTTTTTATAGATTTTAATAAAAAAAATTTGTTGGTACAAACCAATAAATATTTCATTTTACGAGATTAAATATCTTGATTTACATCAATTTTCTATTTTTTTTCAGTTTTTTTATTTGTTGTTAATAACTTTTTTTGTTTATTTAAATTGATGATTATCAATTTATTTTTGATTTACAATGAACTTTTTATGTAAAAAAACATATTGAAATAGCTTGTCTAACCAATTTTTTTTTTTTTTAAATTGCAGCCTAACAAAGTGGCGTGCCAAATATCTTATAATATATATAAATTAACCAGTAACATCATATTAATTATTTTCTAGGATTTACTCTAAAAAAAGATAAATACAAGCAGGAGAGAAGATAAAAATCATACCCACAAAAAACAGTAAGAATATCTCTATAAAGAATTTATTTCTTCTATTTTTATTTATTTTTTTTCCAAAGTAAATCACATGAACTACTAATAAAATACAACTACTTAGCATATTTAATGTGATAAACTTGGCGATTTGAAAAAAAAAAACATGTAGAGAACAAAAAAAAGATGTACTTTATTTTCTTCATATATATAAAGAAGTCGCTCTTTTAATTATGAAAAGAAAAAATTAATCTCCGAGATTCAACAATTTCTCCTTCTCTTCTTCGATAAACTCAACACTTTGACCTACGGAGGGTGAAGGAGCCAAAGATCTAGTTTTCTTTTTTTCTTTTTTCTTTCAGTAACATAATGAAATATAGCTGTTCATATAGATTGAAGGAATTGCCAACCTCTTGTTTTTTGTTGCTGTACATACACAATTAGTTGGACCAAGCGCGAAGCTAGAAATTTGTTGTTACATTAAAAAACTATACAGTTATTTTATAGAGTATATATATCTCCATAAATATTCTAAATATTTATATTAAATATTTTAAATGTTTCTTAGATATTTATTTTTAAAAAATCTGTATAAACAGAGGTCAAGAAGCCAAAACTTATCTCTCTGATACTTCATTTCTTCAGAGAACACAAATCAAGCACAGCACAAGTTTAATATAAAATTTAAACAAAGTTTAAAAAACATTTAATCTACTCATCAACTCTGATAATATTTATTTTTCTCGTTATTTGTATAAACATTATACTGATCATAGCATCAAAGTATTTTTCTGACTTTTCTAGATACAATTTTATCTACTCATCAACTCATGGAAAGCGCCTTCAATTTCTTTACTGAGTTTTTTATTCCAGCATCTTCAGAATATATTAAGATCGAACAATTATTAAAACATATAAAAAATGAATTTAGAAATTATATATTAAGGACTAAATTGTAAGTTACTGTGTCTGTCAGCATATATAGGTGAATTTACTCACAAAGATCGATGTAGCTTATAAATGGAATTAAAATGTCACCAATCTTAAACTTGTCGAATTGAAAAAGGAACAAAAAAAAAAAAAAAAGATGGCGTCAAGAACACCTATTCATCTTTCAATGATCGTGCTAGGGCCCAAAAAAATGACAGGTGGCTTGGTCTCAATTGGAAAGCAAATTAAGGCATTTGAAAAGCTAAAGTGTGGTCAGAAAGAATCCAAAAATCATTGGAGGAAGCAGCATTAGATATCTGGGGTCACATCCCTCTGCGTTCGTCCCCACAGTCCACATGGAATGCTTGTCTAATCCTGGGTATCTTCCTATGTAGAATTTGGTTATTTACCCATCCTCAGAACCTGGGAATTGGCTTTACATAAAGGAAAATTCAGTTCTTACCAATCTTAAAAGCCACCACTCCAGCATATATTTGTCATTTTCTTTTTGGGAGATCTTACAGATTGCTTATCTAGAAAAAGATAGATCTTGCCAGTTCATTTCTGGACACCTGTATGCAGAAGCTGTGGGCATGTGTGGATCAGTCCTTGGAACATTTTTTATATTCTGGCACGGACTGCGGATTAACTTGGATTTCCAGCTGATTTATTCAATATTCCGAGTCCAATCAAATCATTTCTTTTTGCTAACATGTAGTGCTTCGGGTCTATATCCTTCCAACATAAATTACACACACACACACAAACACAATCAACTTGATATAATCGGATTCATGAGCTTAGTTAGTAGCCCATATGATCTCAGAAGTTACCTCCAAACCAAAGAATCATCTTCTCGGGTTAATCAATTATCTAACCCCTCCTTCAACTCCATCTCTCTCTGTATATATACCCTTTCCTCTCTTCCTCCGTATCTTCACAGCAAATTCACACACACACAGTTTCTTGTGATCCTGCTCGTTTTCAGTCTGTATTTTTTTTTCTCATTTTAACGTGCTCCAACAATTGAAGTCTAAGTTATGTATATGTCGAGAATATTGAAGAGCTGTGATGCTGTTGTTGGTCATCAGTTTGTGAGTTGCATCTGCTTTTACCTTTCGTTCTTTATCTTTTTTTTTGGGCCTTTGGTTTAACCACTAGTGGGTCTATCCTATTTAGCTCCACAATGATTAATTCAGGTGGATTTATTAATTTGCCTTAATTACCGGGCCATTCATATTCATTCATTTTCTTTACTCTTACTTCATGGGTTGTTTCCTTCTAGGGTTAGGGTTGGTCCGTTCATGCTCGTGAAAGATCTGATCAAGATTGTCAGTCTATATTGGCCGATGCGGCAGCATCAAGATTCACAAACTTTAAGGCATGAGTTGGGGGTGGTACACGGTCACCTCCTTTACTCGAAAGGTTCCTTTCTGATGGGAATCTTGATGATGCTGCATCGGCAAATATATGACTATTCTTCTTAATTTACTGTTGCATACCAAACATGTACAACGAGTTCAGCAATTTGATCAAAGGTGGAGTGTAAGTTAATTATCTAACCAAAACCATGAAGGTAATGGTTCTTTAACATATCTCAAGCTACTATTTAATTATGCTTGTTGAATGAATAAATTGTGTGAATATTTTGATTGTCATGTCCTTCGGTAGTTTTCACTTGCCTACTTAATTTCCGAGGTTGGTGATTGATTGTGTTGTCAACTAAGTGAGATTTCGTTATCTGGTGTTGCTACAGACCAGTTTTATGAATTAATGAAAGATAAGAATGGTCAGTATACGACTAGCTAGTCCTCCCTTCTCAGTTTTAGGTGTGGTGTTTCTGTCAAACCTCAGCTTAGTTTTGAGAAATTCACTGAATATATAAAGATTACATATTATCCAAAATTCTTTCGATGTTTATTTCAATTTACACAATGATTATTCTGCACTTTTATTTCATCAAAACGGCAGCCGGAAACCTTCTGTATCTAGAAGGTTCTTAAAGGACTCTTAATTTTCGAAATCTAAATTCATTTATTTATCATAATTCTGGTAGTTCTCTAAAGTTATTAAGCTCTTTCTTTCTTTTCTGGATTCATAGGAGAGCATATAGCTCCAGGATCACTTCTTTCTTTAAAAATGTTGTCTTGAGGTTATATTTATGCAGCAGCTTTTCCTTAAAACTCAGCTTTTCCTTAAAACTGAGTTCTTTCTTTCCTGCTTTTTTTTTATATAATAAAAAACGTTCATTTTCAGGTCATATTTATGTAATAGCTTTTCCTTATAGCGATTACTACAAGGTGGGGGGTTAGCCTTTTCGTTAATTAGTTGAATTGTTCCTCAGCAAATCCTTAACAGATAACTTACTCTTGTTTTTTATTTTATTTTATAAATTGCTAGGGAAATGAATATTCCTTTTATAATCGTAATTATCTTATTCTCCCCCCCCCCCCCCCCTGAGCTTCTCTTTTTTGACTCGTTTTCTTATGACGTCTCATGCGTATAAGATCCTAGTAGCATTTTAGAACAAGAAAAGAAATTTTTATTTGAAATGATTGTTGGTTTGACAGAAATTAAGGATTGGGAGATGAATATCCATTATGAGTCTATGACTATATGTGATGCCTATATATCCTATATCACAGGATTATTAAGAGAGATAAAATAAAATAAAATAAAATAAAAACGTTAATGAATCTATGTATGATAAAGAATTTATTTTAGATAATAAAGTCCAACTCAATACTGTTGTGATGATATACACACTTCATATGAGCTCGTGAACCTGTCTCGCTAACCAATACGAAGGATTTAGATTTGCTGAAAAATATAGATCAAGGGCTCCACCGCCCGATGTATATCTTTCCGTCTTTCTTTCTTTTTTATAATCACGCAAGGATTAATTTCCCTATGAATTAGCTAGCTAGGTGCACCCAAATAATTAAATTGATATCAAAGTGGCTGGGAGTTTTAAAATGTATTACTTAGAAAAAAATATTAAATTAATTAAATATATATTAAAAAAAACATTTTAAACGAAATATTACGCGTCATAATGTCAAACACACTAACATATTTGCATATTTTGATCATTGCTCAATCTGTAACCTGTCTTCCAGGTGGCTCGCCTTTGGTCTCCTCATGCGCTTAATGAACTTGTCTGATTTATCGGGGAAAAAGAAGAACAATGACTACAATTATTGTCTATTTTAGAGATCATTTAGCTCTTATGGTTGTGGTGCTAAGTACAGATGAGTGAGTTTTCAATCTCCAGAGATATTACAACGAAGGAAGGGAATAGGAAAAGCAAGTTAAGGAACGTACCGTGTATATGCTTAGTTTTGTTTTATTTGTACTTGTTGATGGAAAATGTAAACCTAGATTCATTGCTAAAGATCAATGGTAACATAGATGACATTTGAGTTATTCATGGCGCTGCTAGCCCAACTTGTGGCAGCCACGTACCAATCTTTACATTACTGATATATCCGTTGACGATAATAGATTCAGACTCTTTTTAGTTGAAAGGGTGACATTAAGAGAAGATGGAGAAGAGTTCGTAGCTCATTACTCTGACTTTTCATCAGTTAATTAGTTTTGGAAGTGAAAAGAAAAGAAAATCTAGATGAAAGATAAAATTGAAAAGCACCACTCAATTTACGCTTAATCTCTCACAATCCTTTCATATTGGTTTCATATTGGTTGGATTTGAAAATCTAATGATGGAACAAAGGATGGATCCATCAGTCTCTTCCTTTTGGATGCACTAAGTAGGAAAATAGGCACCTTGTTTATTCCTCTAATACATTCTTTATTATCTATCGATGGATCCTCTCTTCTTTTGATTCAAACGCATCGTGTTGCAAGAAAATAATTTCCATTAGTCATCACCAAATTTAATTAATAGCTCTATTTGTAGAATTTTTTGTTGGTATTTACATTACTAGTCTATTTATGATTATTTTCCTGACAGGATTACAAATGGAAAAAATCCATTGATATGTTCATGAACGAATTTTATTGTTGAGTTAATTTTGTCGATAATGTCATCTGCAAAACTTACATGATATCATATTAATTGGCCTGTTTATTTTTTTTTTTTTCACTATGAATCCCTTTGTATATTGACATGACTAAAAGATTGATGTCTTCTCCTAAGTGCAGGAGTGTCGAAGTAATAAATAACCCAGCAAGACCGGGGTCGAACCACAGGGAGGTTAATTGTACAAATTATAAATAACAATAATACAACAACAACAACAATAGTAATAACAATAATAATAATAATAACAACAATAGTAGTAGTAGTAGTAGTAGTAGTAGTAACAACAACAACAACAATAATAATAAAGAAAAAGAAGGAGAAGAAGAAGATGATGATGAGAACTTGGAGATGAAATATTAATGTAAGGATTAAACGATGATAATAACAAATGTCAAGTTTAGAGGATCCACTAATGGTATGTCAAACGAGTATAGTATAAACTCTTATTATTCAATTGGAAACCACACACAAAGGAGGTTCCAATCAAATTATATATTGTTAACATGATTACATTAGTCATCTTATTCAATTAATGCTAATACTTGTAAATCTCATCAAGCATTCATGATTATAACTTATGTTAACAACAAATCAAGTTCCTTTCATAGCTCAGGTGTCGGTTATACCATACATTATGGGCGTATGAACTATGAAAGTGCCAAGCATTTGTTGTACCAAGTGTTATACAACATAAATCAAGATTAATCATTTAACAAGCAAAGTATTAAAGAGTGAACAAGATAACAAATATAAAACATGTTAGTATCAAAAATTAAAGTCCATATTAAGTTTACATTATACTTATTCTTACACCATTAGTGTAACCTTTTCACCTTGACATAACTAACTTAGCTAGACATAATGAAAGAAAGCAAAATAGATACATAATACACTTAGCTAGACATAATGAAAAAAAGAAAAATAAATAAACAAAATAAGAACATAAATAAGACAAAAGTTAGGTAAGTAATAAAAGGAAATGAAAGGCATAAACTTGATATTAATGAAAGCAAAGCATAAACATTACAAAAAATACAAAGGGAGAAAGTAAGAGCATGATCTTGATCTGGAAATCAAGATGCTTAAATGCATGGCAAATACCTCCTTTTATAGGCCAAAATTGGGAACTATTGATTTAATGACTAATTGATGAGTGGGTGGCCAACTCTTGACTTGGTGACAATCCTTATATTCTCTTGTCTTCCCAAAACATCATTGATAATGTCAAAATTGGAGCCACTCGAAAACATGAAAGTTGTAGGCAATTGTCTCAGCTTTCTTGTATAAAATATTCAGCTCATTTAGACTTCTAGAACTCTAGATATGACCAAAATACTAAACAGTGCTCGGGCTGGAGGATAGATTCGGGCTTCTTTGTTGTTGTAACAATTTGGACTTGAAAATGACCTTTTTAGATATTGGGCTCCATATGAAAGTTGTAGGCCTATGACTTACCTTTCCATCCATATAAAGTAGACCTAAATCTGAGATCTATAGCTCTAGATATGACCCAATTACCGAACAGTGTTCCGGTTTGGATTGCACCGACATCTCTTTTCTAATTTTGGTCATCTCTTTGCCCTTGCAATTTAAGTTCTTAAAGTCATCAATCAATCCTTTCATTTATGTGATAGGCCTGCATTTAAAATGAACATTTACCACAAATTAAAGGTATCTTATATTATTAGATATATTATTATAAAACATGCTTTAGTTAAGGAGTTATTGATACTTCAAGTGCAAAATGATGATATAAAACCTTGATAAAAATGCACTTTTAAGTACTAATCATTTGCTTTCCCCGGATGGTATTCTATGGTGCAGTCATAATCCTTAATAAGCTCTATCCACCTTGTTTATCGCATGTTCAACTCCTTTTGAAACATCAGATACTTCAGACTCTTATGATCATTAAAAATTTGGGTTTGAGACCCATACAAATAGTGTCTCCATATCCTCAAGGCAAAAACTACAGCAGCCAACTCCAGGTCGTGCACTGGGTAGTTCACCTCATGAGTCTTTAACTGTCTTGATACATAGGTGATCACTTTCCCATGTTGCATCAGAACACACCCCAATCCCTTCCCCGAAGCATCACTATATACCACAAAACCCTCTGTCCCTGAGGGAAGGGTCAACACTGGAGCAGTGGTGAGCCTCCTCTTCAATTCTTGGAAGCTTTTCTCACATTCTTCTAACCACACCCATTTCATATTCTTCCTAGTTAGCTGGGTCAAAGGGGTTGCAATTAGGAAGAAACCTTCGATAAACCTCCGATAGTATCCTGCAAGTCCCAGGAAGCTACGTATTTTAGTGACCGAAGTTGATCTTTCCCATTTCAAGACTGCCTCGACTTTTTGGGGGTCTACAAAAACACCTTCGGCTGAAATGACATGTCCTAGAAACATCATTCTCTTCAACCAAAATTCACATTTACTCAGTTTTGCATATAACTGGTGATCTCTCAAGGTTTGTAAGGTTTGTCTCAAGTGTTCTTCATGCTCCTCGAAAGAATTCGAGTACACCAGTATATCGTCAATGAACACCACCACAAACTTATCAAGATATAGTTGGAAAACCCGATTTATCAAGTCCATGAAGAGGCCTGGGGCGTTCGTTAACCCGAACGGTAGCACCAAAAATTCATAGTGTCCGTAACGAGTTCTAAATGCGGTGTTCGCTACATTCGCTTCTTTAATCTTCATTTGATAGTACCCTGATCTCAGATCTATCTTTGAAAATGCCCTCGCTCCCTTTAATTGATCAAACAAATCATCTATCCGAGGTAATGGATACTTGTTTTTCATTGTTATCTTGTTCAGTTGTCGACAGTTAATACAAAGTCTATAGGTTCCATCTTTCTTTCTTACAAACAACATCGGTGCTCCCCATGGAGAATTACTAGGTCGTATGAACCCTTTGTCTAACAATTCCTGTAATTGAGTCTTTAATTCGTTCAGTTCTGCCAGAGCCATCCGATACGGTTGTTAGGCTATAGGTGGGACTCTAGGAAAAGTGTCTATAGACACTTCTACCTTTCGCTCCGGGGGTAGTCCTAGTAGTTCTTCGGGAAACACATCTGGGAATTCCTTCACCACAGGAATATCCTTCAGTCGTGGACCTTCATCATCACAGTTTAAGATGTATGCGAGGTATCCCATACATCCCTTTCTTAAAAGTTTTTGGGTTGTTACCGTTGATATCAAGGCAATTGGTTTGAGAATTCTCTCTCCTTCAAAAATCATTCTCTCACCCTTAGGGGTTTGGAAAGTAACAATTTTAGCATAACAATTGATTGTGCATCAAAAGTGTCATTAAGTCTCTTATTTTACATATGTATTTATTGTTTTTATTTGGTTGTTTTTATAATAATTGATGTGTTTTTTAGTAATGAAGTTTGTTTTAATGTTTCGATAGGTTTTTGGAGCTTAAATGAATTAATTCACAAAATTCAACGTCGGAATTCAGAACAAAGAATTGAAGAGACATTTAGTTGAAGATTGAAGCAAATCTTGGTTCAAATAAGTGCTCCAAATTTGTCCCAAAAATCAATTCTATTCCAATTCTAGAAAAGAATATCATATGATTTATTTCAAGCCCAAACTTGCCTTATGTTGTGTGCAAACTTCAACCATTAAACACTCAAGGTTTCAATGTCAATCTTAGCCCAAATAATAAGTACATTTGTATACTTATTTGATGCTCAAAATCAGCCCAAAATCAACCCCAAATCAACCTTCAAATCAACCCAAACACAATCCATGATCTTACATGTCCACACAACAAATAACAATTGATTTATTTTGGGCAATCCATTGATCCAAGAAGGCAAGCACATGGATGGAAAGCTGGAGGGGATATTTTAACATTATTTTGGGTCAAAACGAAGAAGGAGACACCTCATAAATGAGGAAGAAAAACGTGCATCAAAGTAGTTGTAAAGCTGTCTTGATTTGATTTTTCAGAACACCTTTCGGTGTTTTGCCCATAACTTTTGACTCAGGTGTCCAAATGAGCTGTTCTTTAATGATCTGGAAAGGTGACAGAATTGCCTATAAATATGTCTCTAATAGACTTCTCCAAAAAAAAAAGCTTCTAAGAGGGTCGAATTGCTGTCCAAAGTTAGAGTCAGATTTGTGTTCGAATTTTTTCTGAAATTGTATTGTATTCTTCTTTATAGATTTCGGTTCTTTAGTTTGTAAAACTTATTTTTTCAGTTGGATTCAAGTTCTTTCATGTTTATTGAAGTGTTCTTATATATAATCATGGTTGGCTAAACTCTTTCTTGGATCCAAATCAAGGATAATGGTGATTGAGGTGAGTTCTTTAAGATATGAATGAATCTTAATGTTTATCTTCTTATTTTC